ATGAAGCGGATCAAGCGGATCAAGTATGGCGCGTGCCTTATAGATAAATATATCAGGATGTTCTAACGCGTCCTGGATCATCTGCTATCAGAATCACGGAAGAGATGTTCGAACTTGTTAAATAACGCAAGTTCGAACATGTCTTACGAGTTCATGATAGTAAATTGCCAAAACGCGTTAGAATGCGCTCATAAACCTGTTTAGCCAACGTCCGCAAAGGATGCTCGTGTCTCTTGGCTCTCTTGGTCAGAGAATGAATGCTAACAAACTTCCTCCCATTTTCCTTTCAGGAGTAGTATGGGGAACCATTGACGAAGTAGAGCTCAAACGCGAAATTTTGCGCAAATCGTGTTTTGAAAAAATCAGTTGTCCGCTGCGGTACTTGTCATTTTACGGCGTTTACCATCGTCGGGAGAATTTATCGCATGGTTTCTTGTTCAGGTGAAGAGCTTAAATGAGTTTGTCTTATCATAATCGTCTTAGATGGAATACATCCGATTACAGAGCAATCTTGTCCTTTCACTTCTATAGTCAAAAGTACAGAACAAGTTTATTTCTGTGAAACTCTTGATTTTTAGTTTCATGTAATGGGAACTGAAGAGCCATTATGGAGGTTTTGTTATCCACAGCGAGTTAGAGCCAATCTGACCGACTTAGAGCCCGCTTTTCGACATCCTTTACTCCCTCCCTCTGCTTTTCTGCACAAAGAGACTCCACAACAGTCTCAAGAAGAACCGAAATACGACTTTGTAGATCCTCTGGGTTTGTCATAACAAACTTATCATACAAGCTCTGAGTTTATCTATCTCAGGTGCCACAATCGAGGAAGAACTGCCCGCAAATGTTACTCGACTTGACTTGGATGCTTTGGAAAATATACAGCCGAAGAAGGAACAAATCTTGGATAATACCCTAGAGACTAAGAATAAGGATGGGCCCGTTAGAGGTAAGCGTTTTCCATCTGAATCTAATCTATGTTTGCTCTATCCCGTTTAGACGTTGAACTTGTTGATTTTGAACCTTGGAGATCGAAACGAGCGCAAATCTTGAACGAACATGAGGACAAGGATAAGAAAGGTGCTTACTCCACCTTCGGGTCGGCATCGCCAGCAAAATTCACCATGAGCAGTAAAACGAGGCATAGGTATGCTTTCAACTTTCTTCGAATATTCACCAGCTTACTTCCGATAAATTCACCTTTTCTAATAGTGAATTTTTCCATCTATTTCGATTATACTACGATTATTCTTTTCAAAATTCCATAGACTGGAGGTGCTAGAAGACATGTCTGGTTTGCGCAAGCTGTCCGACATCTCGCAAAACGAGCTGATTGTGCATATCAATGACCTTCGAGAGAAGTTTCTTGCGGCATGGGAAGACAACCAAAGAGTCGAATCTGTTCGGGTAATTTTTTTT